AAGTAGTATTGAACCCTCAGTGTTCTTAGCGTTGAGCATTGAGCGTGATTAAATATCCCCACTTGGCCCAGCACTTGCAGTTTACAACTTTCAAATCTGCTCGCTCCTGTTCCCTCAGTGCTACTTCCCTGAACTTCTGCTATTCAAGGGAAAGAGTTACAAGTGGACAGTCTGGTGCCAGTCTGTTTGCTTAGAGAATAGAGGGAGGTTGGAGCAGGGGAGTACCTTGCCATCCTAAGCTACAGGGTTGTGTGTTTCTATTGCTGCACACAATGTAGCGAGACACAGCTCTAAGCACTGCATGCACGGGTTTCTCCATAGGGCACTGCAAGAAAAAGGAGCCACCTTGAAACAGAAAACCTGGGGCAACAGTCATGGCACCAGTTTAAACAGGGACATAGGGAAGAGTTAAAAAGGTGCATACTCAGTAATGATTACATCAGCTGCTAAAAGTGCCTAAAACTGAGGGTTTCATTTCACTTTAAACAAACCTGTGTGGAGAAAGATATCTGTATTTAGAAAGCGGCAAACCCAGGCAGCTGTAGAAGATTACATATTGCCTCTGTTCTTCTGTAGCATTCCAGGATCTCCAAAACCCAGAGCACTCTCTAATGCCATCACCAACTAAGCCTTCTGTTTGCTGGCCATGTCACTCTCCTGCCTATATATCCTGCTAGTGGTTAGTAAGGCAGTCAGTCATATGGACTATCCGTAATGCATAGGCGGTAGGAGTAAGTGAAGTCACAGCCAGAGACCAAGAAGTTTGGTCAGTAAATATATTAGAGCACACAGGTTTTGGTGGTCCCAGGGCATTCCACCTGAAAGCAGAGGTGATATGCAAGCAACATTTTAAAGTGTGTGCCACTTTAGAATACCATTCATTTTGCCCACCACGTTTTCTTGAATTCTTGCTTTAATTTAGCAAATTTTTTCAAAACAAATTATAGTATCAAATATTTATAACTGCTACCATATTTATATGAACTCCCTACTGTACAGCACCAGAGAAAATGATGCTCCTTTAAAAGTTAAAGAGTATGTAAACCTTTACTTTGAACTTTTCTATTTGTTCTTTTTTTTGCTCCGTTAAAAACAAAATTGAAAGGACTCTGTTAACTCTGTTCATTAGGTGAAAAAAATACCTGTTGATCATATAAAAAAGTTTGAGTTGCCCTGAACACAGGGAGGACTCCAATAAGCCCTCCACATACTTATCTTGGAATACAGAACAATTAGTTCCTGTGTTGAGAAGGGGATGGTGGGATTCAGTTGTTTAGCAAAAGGCATAGGAAATTAGGAACAAAGTGCATTTCTACTACTTCAGTTTTTTGTACTTGCAGGGAAGAATAATTTTGCTGTGTGAAAACGCATTTCAAAAAGAAATCTCACTGTTTCCAATATGGCTGGGTAACATCTGTGCACTACAGTTTAGTATGTTTTTAAATGAACACTAGATGGGCTCAATAACACCTTACCAATGGCCATGATAGGTGTGAATGGCCCCTAAAGATAATAATAATACTAGAACTTTAAAGGCTGTTTTTATCACAACTATGGGGTAAAGGCTGTGCCAGTAATAACAAACCAAAATAATGATGTTCAAGCTAGCAAAATGACGGTTCCTTTAGTACAGTGAATGAACCACTCTGTACATTGATTTCCTTTCTATTTGTATCCTTGCCTGCTTGAACCCAATAATTGTTGCTTTAAATCTAATTGTCTAGGCAGTGGAAGCAGACAGCCAGGAAGACCATGGGATCTTTAAAATTGTTAGATCGATATTAAACCCAAAAGCAAACATTTATTATATTGCTTACCATTGCTGTATTAGGCTGGCCATACATTATACAATTTTCTTCAGAATTTTGCTTTAGATTTACCAAAAACCATATAATATGAAGTCACACCTAAACAACACTTTCATTTGTATCCAATTAGGCAGGCCCTTGCACTACATAGTTGAAGATAAATGTAAAGGAAATTGGGCAGAAATTGGACAGAAAATTGTATAGCGTATGGCCAGACTTAGTTTCCTTTTTTCTTTTTTTTTGGTTTTCTTTTATCTATTTTCATTCTGTGATCCACCCAACAACTCTGCTGTTTTTCAGAAGCTGTGATCTGGAGACCTGTTGACCTGGCCAGTAACAAACCTCCTGTATTAAGCCATCCATAGACAGTTCGAATTTTGGCAGATCGATCAAAGTAGGTGTAACCAGTCTGCCAAATTTTAAATGCAAATATTGCTATCGGCTATTATAGCCACTACCAATGTTCATTGTGTTCTCCCGGGAAGGATGGCTCCCTCCCCTGGGAGAACACAGTGGCTCAGCGGGAGCGATTTCAGCTATTTTCTTTCCTGCAACCTACAACATATTACTGAGATCAGCTTCATGTAAATAATATTAAGGATTGCTAATGGTTGAATAACATTTTGGGTACCATTTGTAAACATATGTATATGCAGAGATCCATAATTTCCTACTAAACAGTATATACAGGATCTGCTGCCTGGTGAGTAGTACTGCTCAGACACTGCACATCATTGCTCCTCTCTCCCAGTGCAATACTATGTAAATCACATTGCTACTGATGTTTATTTAAAGGTAATGTAGACAGTGTGGACAAAGAGGTCAAATGGGTATGAGGTATAAGGTGAATTACACAAATAATGAAGCGTACAAAGTAGCCTGTCTAGAGTGATGACATGACTTACTTGTGCCTGTGCAGCAGACCGTTGAAGGCCAGACCATCTGTCCAACTGGTGGTGAAGTTTAGCACATTGACTTCATCATAAGATCTTGTTGAATTCCTAACCCAACTCAAAAGAATCTTCTCACTGTTTGTTTGCTGGAGTTCTGACATAATTGCCTTCATGACATCTTTCACCTGGCAAAAGAACAGGTAAACAGGTTACAGAAGGGCTAACATAAAATTACTTCCTAATGCTTTGGCTTTCTGCACCGTGCAGCTAAATCAAAAAATGCTGTCAAAAACAAAACAATATTGAGAATTTGATCTAAAACTTGTAGCAGCATTTTAATTTTACTTGAAGAGAACCTGCCACAAGGGAAAAATCAAGGCTTCCATTGCTGACCTATCTTTTGGGAATGTTAGTGTCCTGGCTGTCATGGTAAATCTTTGACTTTAAGGCTGACTGCGTCACTGACCTGTATAATGTATAGAGAAATAGCTGTAAAACTAATTTCTATACTTATTTACAGCATGCTTGTGATGGATATGAGACTCAAAATTGCTACAAGAGACCCAGTCATGTGTCATGTGTCCTGTGCTTTATAAGGGAGCCAGCAATAACAGCCTACATACTCCTTTCTTGACAGAGTCACTTGAACGTCAACATTTCTATTCAAATTTGTTGGACCATTTTCTAAATCTACCATCATCTTTTCCCTGATCTATTCTCAATCACCGTCTGTTTATTTTATCATTCACTGAAATCTGGAAAGACTTCTACACTATTGTGAAAAGCCAAATAATGAGTTAACCCAGCAGTGCAAAAACCTTGCTCCTAAAGTGAGTACAATAAAAGTTTTTTTTAGTTTGGATTGATCAAGACTTTAGTTATGATGATGATGGTTATTTCTCCATTGTCCTTCTGTTATAAGCAAGGACAAGGTGTTTATATAAAATCTGAGACATTAATAAACAAAATAGGAATGCAATGTAACTGCAGGACTAGAGATGCACTATTTTGCTAAAAGTATTGGGACACCTGCCTTTCCATGCATATGAACTTTAATGGCATCCCAGTCTTAGTCCGTAGGGTTCAATATTGAGTTGGACCACCCTAGCTATAACAGCTTCAGCTCTTCTGGGAAGGCTGTCCACAAGGTTTAGGCGTGTGTCTATGGGAATGTTTAACCATTCTTGCAGAAGTGCATTTGTGAGGTCAGGCACTGATGTCGGACAAGAAGGCCTGGCTCACAGTCTCTGCTCTAATACATCACAAAGGTGTTCTATCGGGTTGAGGTCAGGACTCTGTGCAGGCCAGTCAAGTTCCTCCTCCCCATGTCTTTATAGACCTTGCTTTGTGCACTGGTGAGTAGTCATGTTGGAATAGGATGGGGCCATCCCCAAACTGTTCCCACAAAGTTGGGAGCATGAAATTGTCCAAAGTGTCTTGGTATGCTGATGCCTTAAGGGTTCCCTTCACTGAAACTAAGGGGCCAAGCCCAACCCCTGAAAAACAACCCCACACCATAATTCCCCCTCCACCAAACTTTTACACTTGGCACAATGCAGTCAGGCAAGTACCATTCTCCTGGCAACCGCCTAACCCAGAATTCACTGACAAATGTTTGTAGAAGCAATCTGCATGCCTAGGTGTTTGATCCCAGTCTTATGCCGTAGAGTTCAATATTGAGTTGGACCACCCTTTCCAGCTATAACAGCTTCATCTCTTCTGGGAAGGCTGTCCACAAGGTTCAGGAGTGTCTCTATGGGAATGTTTGACCATTCTACCAGAAGCGAATTTGTGAGGTCAGGCGCTGATGTCGGACGAGAAGGCCTGGCTCGCAGTCTCTGCTCTAATTCATCCCAAAGGTGTTCTATCGGGTTGAGGTGCAGACCAGTCAAGTTCCTCCACCCCAAACTCGCTGATCCATGTCTTTATGGACCCTTCACTGGAACTAGGGGGCCAAGCACAACCCTTGAAAAATAACCTCACACCATAATCCCCCCCCCTCCACCAAACTTTACACTTGGCACAATGCAGTCAGCCAAGTACCGTTCTCCTGGCAACCGCCAAACCCAGACACGTCCATTGGATTGCCAGAGAGAGAAGCATGATTCATCACTCCAGAGAACACATCTCCACTGCTCCAGTGGTCGTGCTTTACACCACTGCATCCAACGCTTTGCAATGCACTTGCTGATGCAAGGCTTGGCTGCAGCTGCTCAGCCATGGAAACTCCTTCCATGAAGCTCTCTATGCACTGTTGTTGTGCTAATCTGGAGGTTTGGAGGTCTTTAGCTATTGACTTTACAGACAGTTGGCGACTTCTGCGCACTGTACGGTTCAGCATGCGCTGACCCCCCTCTGTCATTTTACGTGGCCTACCACTTAGTGGCTGAGTTGCTGTTGTTCCCAGTTGCTTCCACTTTGTTATAATACTACTAACAGTTGACCGTGAAATATTTAGTAGCAATAAAATTTCACAGATGGACTTATTGCACAAGTGGCAACCTATCACGGTACAACACTTGAACTCACTGAGCTCCTGAGAGCAACTCACTCTTACAGAAATGTTTGTAGAAGCAGTCTGCATGCCTAGGTGCTTGGTTTTATACACCTGTGGCCATGGATGTGATTGGAACACCTGAATCCAATGATTTGGAGGGGTGTCCCAATACCTGTCATCTCCTGACCTCTTCCATAGAGCATTGTATTTTCTAAAGGTGGAAAAGTTGCTTTCATTGATAAATGACAGGTCTGTGAGACACATGGCTTTAAGCCAGAATGCCATTTATGTTTTTTTCCCTCTTGGAAGCTGTTTAAGCTCTTGGAAAGCAAGGGGAGGTGGGCCTCTGGGCAGATATCATCCATGACTTGCTACTAGTTTATCATAAACAGAATCTCAATATGGTAAAGCCCTGATTTAGAGTTATGGCTGAAAAGCCAAGTTCTTCAGAAACTGAAACTTTAATTATGAAAGAAATAAAATTATATTTTGTTACTCACTGTAAATCCCTTTCTCTGTGTTCATTGCTTTCTACTTAGTATACAGGTCAGGGTTTTTTTTTTCTTTGCTTTTACTTTACTCATTGCATACTTGCAGAATCAGTAATTCTGAAAATATTACATTCAGAAGATTGGGATGATATCCAGGTAACTAGAGTGTTCAGAAGGTGGTCAGCAAAAGTAACTAGCAATTTTATCTAATAACAGCTTTTCGGAATGAGTTGCGATGGAAACTATCTTCACGAATATTCAGAATTTATTACATAAATAATATCCTTAGAGTCTAGCTTGCACTGTTCCTTAGAAATCTCTTGACACAGATACACTTTTCACAATATACACTGGATATATCACTCTGGACTAGCTAAGAAATATATAAATGATGAAAGTTGTTGGTGAGAACTGTCCCCTTATGCAGGCCATAGATGGGTCGAAAATCGGCCGATTTTTCGGCCAAAAATAAAATCGGCCGATTTTCGGATCGTTAGTGGGCTCTTTGTTCGGCCGTTTTTCGGTATTTTGACCGTTTTTTTTTTTTTTGGTAAAGTTGGAAAAAAATCGGCCGATCGGCCGATTTTCGCAGCAATTAGTGGGCAAATCGGCCGATTTTTTTACCGATATAAAATCTGCGCATGAGCAGTGACCTGCAAGAGGAAGACAAAAAGAAGAAAAAGAAGAGGAAGAGGATGAAGAAGAGAATGAAGAGGAAGAAGAAGAGGATGAAGAAGAGGAAGAAGAAGAAGAGGATGAGGATGAAGAAGAAGATGAGGATAAAGAAGGAAAATAAGAAGAGGATGAGGATGAAGAAGAGGATGAGGATGGAGAAGAGGATGAGGATGAAGAAGAGGATGAGGATGATGAAGAAGAGAGAGGATGAGGAAGAAGAAGAAGAGGATGAGGATGAAGAGGATGAGGATGAAGAAGAAGAAGATGAGGATGAAGAAGAAGAAGAAGGAGAAGAAGAAGAAGAGAGAGAGATGAAGAAGAAGAAGAAGAAGATGAGGATGAAGAAGAAGAAGAGGATGAGGATGAAGAAGAAGAAGAAGAAGAAGAGAGGACGAGGATGAAGAAGAAGAGGACGAGGAAGAAGAAGAGGATGAGGATGAAGAAGAATAAGAATAAGAAGAGGATGCGGATGAAGAAGAAGAAGAAGAGGACGAGGATGAAGAAGAAGAGGACGAGGAAGAAGAAGAAGAGGATGAGGATGAAGAAGAAGAGGATGATGAAGAAGAAGAAGAAGAAGAAGAAGAGGATGAGGATGAAGAAGAAGAGGATGAGGATGAAGAAGAAGAAGAAGAAGTAGGATGAAAATAAGAGGAATTCCAGTCCAGCAAAAAGTGTCCCTGCAGAGAGCTCCGCTATTTCTTTGACAGTTCTCTTGACAGTTCCTTGACATTTATAGAGGTTGCAACAATGTATCTATTTGTTTCCGAATAAAAGCATCTGTATCCTAAATGGAAACAAATAGATACAATGTTGCAACTGCTGTAAATGTCAAGGAACTGTCAGAGAACTGTCAGAAATAGCGGAGCTCTCTGCAAGGACACTTTTGCCGGCTGTAGACGGGATGAAAATCGGCCGATTTTTTTTTACCATTGATGGTAACGTCGGCCGCTTGAACGACCGATTTTTCGTTTTTTAAAAGAAAAATCTGCCGTTTTTCGACCCATCTATGGCCTGCATTACACCAACATCAAATGAAATAATGTATGTATGAAACCAAATCTGACTACTCAGGAAACATATGTGTGTTAATGACTGTACATTGATTTTCAGACTGAAATTATACTAAGGTTTTATTGTCAGACTTTTTAACAATGCACGGCTTCCCCACTTTACAGGGAAATACATGCACTGCCATTGGCAAACTCTTAAAATTTAAGTTTGTCAGCCTGGTTTCATGAAATAACTACTTGCTCACGCACAACTATGGAAAGCAGAAGGCCTGAATTCAGCACCGGGATATTTTTTCATATTTGTGATTTAATGAATACTGCATTTTCAAATGACGGTTGGAAAAGAACTATACCACAGCAAAAAAAAATCTAAGTATAAAGATAGGAGAAAGACTTCTACAGAAGAGTTTTGAGGGGTAGAAGTGTAATGAGACTAACATGAAAAAATGGAATTTTCACTTTGAGGCTTCATGCCCTTCAAAAAGTGTTTTATTCAAGCTCCTAGAAGCTGTTATCAGCATATTTTCTGCTCCTATAAGTTAAATAGTGTTTTCCTATGTGTCCATGCACACTATTTTAGACTAGCAGCGTTTTTCATGCTTCAGCAATTAGGAACAGAAAATAGAGTTTTTGGGAACATTTTTCCAGCAGAAACAAATGTTAAACGCTACTAAACACTACTAAAAACACTATTACCAGCATTTTATCCAGCTTTTTTTAGCATAAAAAAGCCTAATTCTTTTTAACTTGTTTTTAATTTGGTTGCACTGCAAGTAATTTTCTGTAGTTTGCAAGGAGGATTGCTATAAGGTTTTGTTAAACACAGTCCCACTTTTCATCACCTGCCTGCAGTTCACTGGAGCCTCAGAGATTTTCTAACCACCCAGTGTCCTGCCAGAAGTCTTTCTAACAGCTACAACAATGGACAAAATTGTTGGTACCCTTCCATAAACAGGAAAAACCCACAAATTGCCAGTCACTGCTTATTGCATTTTTAATAAAAATCAGACTTTGCTTTTGATACAGAATATTTTAAATAATAAAACAAATGAAAACGGAATAGACCAAAATGATGGGACACTTAAGCTAATATTTTGTTGCACAACCTTTGAGGCAATCATTGCAAACCAGCAATTTCTGTAGCTCTCAATGAGCCTTCTGCACCCGCCAATAAGTTAGTTTGTCTCATTATTTTTGCGCAAACTGTTCTAGCTGTCTCAGGTTTGAAGGGTGCCTTATCCTGACTGAATGTTTTGTCTCTTTCCGTAGATGTTTGGCAGGATTCAGAGCAGCTCTCTTAAAAGGTCACTTTAGAATAGTCCAATGTGTTCTTAGCTGATCTGGGTTGCTTTTAGCTATGTGTATCTTGCTGGAGGACCCATGACCTGGGATTAAGGCAGAGCTTTCTGACATTGGTCAGTACATTTCATTACAGAATTCCTTAATAGTCTTGGGACTTCATTGTACCCTGAACAGATTCAAGGCACCCTATGCCAGACGCAGGAAAGCCTCCTCCATGGTTCCATAATTTCTCCCTATTCACACTTTATTTTCTTCAGTCTATGTCATACCAAATGCATTTAAGTATACATGCGACAATTGCTTTTAATTTCATCACCTCATCACTTTCAGCAAATTGAATCATGCTTTATTGAGTTTCTGCCTTCCTCTGGATCAACTGTGGGTATAGGATTGTGTATATAGGATTGTATTATTTTTTTTTCCTTTTAATGGTTAAATTAGATGTGTGTTTTTTTTTCAACCGGACTAACTATGTAACTGTGTATCACTTTTCAAGAGGAATAAGGCAATATTTCAATGAGCTGTAAGGGTACCAACAAATTTGTCCATGATTGTATATTTCTTTCAAGCAATCTGCAGGAGCTAACACGGAGGCTCTTCTCCTCACACGAATTAGCAAATTGCACCAGTTGTGATTATTCTGCCCTTTTTATGTTACTGGCCAAAAGAAAAAACAAAAACCCTAGAAAACTCTAAAGCGCCAATATGCAGTAGATGGGCAACACATACATGCATGCAATGTAAGCAAGTGGAATAAAGCATACATTGTATACTAGTGAAATAATGCTGTCACGCTTGTAGAATTAACCACTGATGTGAAAAAGAATTGTATTTGTTAACTGTATAGTTGTAGTTAAAAGTGTGTAATTACAGTATTCAGTATCTAAATTCCTTTGTTATGTCATATTCCTTTATTTTTATATATATGTATATCTCTTTAGATTAGCATGCAGACCAAGTTGTCAAGCAAAAGTGGCAGTCATAGCATTTTTGACAAACTATAACACTAATAGGTACGTTTACAGCTATTACTTTGTCTCAAACTCTGTGATAGTCACTTTTGCTGTAATGACTGGTCTACATGCAAATGTAAAAGATGTTTTAACCACATATGCGCATCCTTATATGGGGCTGTGTACATTCATTTAAAAATACTATTCTTGCCACCAAAATCCAAGTGAATAAAAAGCAACAGAGAATAGGCTTGAAACACAGAAGCACAGCATTCATGTTCAAATCACATGCGATTCTTTGCAGTGCGATTTGAGTCAATTAATTTTGTATGGGTTCAATTTGCACTACACCCATGTGAAAAAGGTGGAGGAATCTTTTTTTTGCCACACCGGAAGGAGGTGTTCACACCCATGCTACCCGATTCTTTCAATGGCACTGCATTTTGCGATCTGTTTTGGAGTGCCATTAATTTAAGATTGACACCGGTGACAGGTCCAATGAAGTTTCCTACACCGCTCTTAGGCCTCATAGGCTAATCATAACCAAATCAAAGCAACTCAAAATCATGTCAAAACAATGCAAAAGTACATAATTTTCCTCTGAAAGCATACTGCATTAGGTTGCTTCTGAGCCCGAGTACATAAACTCTTGAAGACACTGCCACTACATTTGGAGATTATATCCTACAAAAATAAGAGGCCGAAGGGCAAAGTAGAGGTTGATTATTCTAATCGAAAATAACCCAAATGATCTAGGAGGCAGAAGATGGAGACTGAAAATAATGGACTGAGTGAAACAGGTTACAATTGTGCAAAGATTAGCATGAAGATGACCCGTTATAATACATGTGCATTCAGGACCCTATAGGCTGACCCCTTTTGAAAGTTTTTGCAGACCTAGGGCTTGATCTCTCTTGTTTACTCTGCAATTATTTCTTACAGAACGCCCCCGTTTTGCTCTTATCATCAGCAATGGCATTTGGAACTCGGGGGGGAGTCTGGATCAACAAGACTGGCAGATCAAGACCCAGGCATTGTCTAAATGTTCGAGGAATGTTATTATATTATAAAATGCCTATAAGGGCATTTATAGATGGTATTACACACCTGGCCGTTTGGCAAGTTTTATCCCCGCATATTCCCCGATTTGCTTCCAGGGTTGTCAGCAAATAGGCACCATGGCCCATATTTGGTGAACATGCCCCAAGGCTTGCAGACTGTGGATTAGGGTTTATGCCCTTCTTTGCACTATGTTTCACACAAACATTAAGCATAACCCATACAAAGCATTACTATTTAAACCGTTAGTGGGCCTACTACGTCCTGAGCGGCAGCTGGCATCACATCTATTTATGACTACCAAACTAACGATCGTGACGGCTTGGAAGACCCTCCTCCTCAGCTTCGAAGCAGTCAAAAATCGGATGAATTTTATAATGGTTAATGAGAAACTGACAGCTATGTTGTTGGACACTCACCCGAAGTTTCTACAGACCTGGTGTCCCTGGCTTGATATAGCCCAACAGTCTAGATTTGATCAGACCCTTTTGTCGATATGAGACTTTTTTTCGCTGCATCCCCTGGAACCCTTTCTTTTCTCTTTTTTTGTCTGTTGTCCTTCATGATATTTATGCGGATTGTAACCTCTTTTCTTTTTTGTATAAATGAACTGCACCAGCAATATTGTATCTATCTGTTGGACTTCCTCGGGAGACCTGGATGTGGAACGCCAGTGTGCATTCGGTGAGGCGAATCGTGTGCTGATCTTTGATCGTTGTGTACTAATTCCTTGGTCTCTAATTGCCCAACATTTTTGCAAATTGTGATGCTTTATTTTATCTCTTCATATGCTGCACTTGTGTACTAAGTTTATTTCTTTGTCTATACTTCTGTGCATTTTTTTGAACTATTCATCAGAAAACTTGTAAGTTTTATTTGTTGTTGGTCAGTGCTCTTGTTTCTGTTACTCTGATGTTGTCTATTCTATAATAAAATCCATTGTAAAAGAGATGACCCGTTATGGAATAGATCTGGCAATATTTGTTTTAGGTATAATTTCACTATTTCTATGAGATATTCATTGACAAGTTCCATGAAGCATCTGCAGAAATGCCACCGTGATTGGGGACCTTTACTGAAGATAACTCCCATACTCATTTCCAGCAGTATGGCCTGCAGGATCCCAGAGCGGTGTTTACATCTTGAAGAGCTATGAATAAGCTGCTTCCCAGAGAGTTGCTGCTCCTTTAGCCCAAAACACAGCAGGTTTCCAGTCCCCAAATAGACCAATAGTATTGGCCAGGAGCAACTGCTTTGTGAGATTGCAGAGTGAGTGAAATAGGACCTATTTTTAGTAATGGTAGCCCATTATATTTTAGAAATACAAAAATTCCCGCACAGCTAAAAATACACAAATCCCCTCCCTAAGCTGTCAACTAAAACAGTTCTAACTACAAATGTGTATCTGCTCAAATAGTGACATAAAATACATATTAATCCCGTAGCAGTGTTTATTTTGGTATAGGGACTGATGTGAAAGTGCAATATACACAGTATATTGCCAAACATATTCAGATGCCTACCTTTACATGCACATGAACTTTAATGGCATCCCAGTCTTAGAACGTAGGGTTCAATATTGAGTTGGACCACCCTTTCCAGCTATAACAGTTTCAACTCTTCTGGGAAGGCTGTCCACAAGGTTTAGGAGTGTGTCTATGGGAATGTTTGACCATTCTTCCAGAAGCGCATTTGTGAGGTCAGGCACTGATGTCGGACGAGAAGGCTTGGCTCGCAGTCTCTGCTCTAATTCATCCCAAAGGTGTTCTATGGGGTTGAGGTCAGGACTTTGTGCAGGCCAGTCAAGTTCCTCCACCCCAAACTCGCTGATCCATGTCTTTATGGACCCTTCACTGGAACTAGGGGGCCAAGCCCAACCCCTGAAAAATAACCCTACACCATAATCCCCCCCCCCACCAAACTTTACACTTGGCACAATGCAGTCAGCCAAGTACCATTCTCCTGGCAACCGCCAAACCCAGACACGTCCATTGGATTGCCAGAGAGAAGCGTGATTCATCACTCCAGAGAACACGTCTCCACTGCTCTTGAGTCCAGTGGTGATGTGCTTTACACCACTGCATCCCGACGCTTTGCATTGCACTTGGTGATGCAAGGCTTGGATGCAGCTGCTCAGCCATGGAAACCCATTCCGTGAAGCTCTCTACACACTGTTGTTGTGCTAATCTGGAGACCAGACAAAGTTTGGAGGTCTTTAGCTATTGACTCTGCAGACAGTTGTCGATTTCTGCACACTGTGCGCTTCAGCATGCGCTGACCCCACTCTGTCATTTTACGTGGCCTACCACTTAGTGGCTGAGTTGCTGTTGTTCCCAGTTGCTTCTACTTTGTTATAATTCCACTAATAGTTGACCGTGAAATATTTAGTAGCAATAAAATTTCACAGATGGACTTATTGCACAAGTGGCAACCTATCACGGTACCACACTTGAACTCACTGAGCTCCTGAGAGCAACTCACTCTTACAGAAATGTTTGTAGAAGCAGTCTGCATGCCTAGGTGCTTGATTTTATACACCTGTGGCCATGGAACACCTGAATACAATGATTTGGAGGGGTGTACTTTTGGCAACATAGTGTATGTAAAGTGCTGTGTAAATTGAAGGCGCTATATAAGTACCTGTAATAAATGAATAAATATAGGATTATTATATATTTTTTGTCACTACTATTTAGACGGATACACATTTGTAGTTAGGACTGTTTCAGATCACATAGGAGCACTGCCCAGATTATCTATATTATCTATATAATCTATATTATCTATATTATCTATATAACCCATTATATTTTGTTCAAAGGATGCAGAAAAAATAAAAATCCTTAATACAGAGTAAAAGATAACTCTAACTCCTGACATGTATAACACTAACACATATAGTAGTTATTTCTAGTTTGTAGTCTGAATAATGTCAGTATAGGTGTGTCCCAAAATGTAAAAGCATAACATTTCATTCTAGGTGATATTTTACCTGCCAATGAAGGATGATGCTCCATATCAAACCAAGGGTTAGCTTGGGATTTCCGTCAACAATATCTGTACCTCCTATGTTCACCAGCTCCACCTGAAAATAATGCACCATTAGACTCAGAGATAATAATAAGAATAATAGTTGCTAATGGACCACTTACAAAAGCCTGAAATAGGACAGCTGAAACTAGGACGTTGTATATAATTTGGCTTGATTTCTATAGTGGGCATAGAACTAGAAGAATATCATACAGATTATATAGTATAACGTATGAATGATAGCTTATATCTAATCAGCGATACCCTTCCTTTAGCAAGCGAGGATAGGGCACATATAAACCATATACAAATGAGTAAAGATCTGGTTAAAGAATACAAGACAAAGGGTAGTTGTATATAGAACATATTCAAAATGAACTATATTGTTAGTGATATACTGTACCATAATGATTTGCACCGGGTTCAGGTTATTTTCAGGTTCTTTTTAATCTTTTTAACCACTTCAATACTGGGCCCCTTTCTGCCCAGGCCATTTTCAGCTTTCAGTACTGTCGCACTTTGACAATTGCACAGTCATGCAACACTGTACATATATGACATTTTTATAAATTTTTTTAACACAAATAGAGCTTTCTTTTGGTGGTTTTTAATCACCTCTGAGTTTTTTTATTTTTTGCTAAATAAAACAAAAAACACCTGAAACGTTTGAAAAACACCCCCATTTTTCTTAGTTTATGTTATACAATTTTGCAAATAAATAAAATTTCTTCATAAATTTCGATCAAAATGTATTCTGCTACATTTCTTTGGTGAAAATAATAATAATAATAATGATTGAATTTGTATTTTTTTTTTCAAATGTTTCTATTGTTTGTTTTATTTTTTATAAAACGTTTTCCTTTTTTTATTGTTTTTTTTTTTTTTATCAGCACACTGTGACCAAAACAATACAATGTTACCATAGTAACATTGAACTACTCTGGGCAAGTGATTAGGATTTTTTTTTAACACATTCTGTTTGCTAATACCAATGTATTTCATTGATATTTGCAATCATTGTTGATGAATGAAACTGATTTGTTCAGACTTTTGTGATTAGATGTGATTGGGCAAAGCTGATGACATGATACAGATGGGTTGTGATTGGCCCTGTCTGTATCATGTGAATGCCTTGACCAGTCACAGCTAACAACATAATTGTATACAATGGATGGCATGACAGGAAGCCATCCATTGTATACAATTGACATGTGATCTGCTGTGATTGGTCACAGCGGTCACATGACACTGGCAATATGTAGTGATATGTCATCGACTGTGCCCCATGGAAACAGCCAGTGACAGGTCGCGCAGCTGCGCGGCTCCACGCCGCCTGAATGGCTCGTTTTGACAGGACGTCATATGACACCCAGTCACAACGAGGAGTGTCCCACCCGGCCTTCAATCTGCTAGGCCGGGCGGGAAGGGGTTAAAAATGATCTGGCGGATGACATGGAAGTAACTGTATGTACAGCACTGTGGCCACTGTTGCACAGCAATGTATGTGAGTGTTCTGGTATTTGGGTACCCCCAACTTTCGCATCAAACTACTGTGCTTGGGTAACATAACTGTACCCAACCTAGCCCCAGTAGGAGCTGAAGAATACCTTGTAGTAGACACAGAAGTGTACTCAGGCAGCCCAGACAGCAGCAAAGCATAAAGTCATAGAGTAGTCAAGGTTTCACCAGGGGCCAAGCCCAGGCCCAGAATGTTTAAGGACCAGGGTTGGGTCAAGAGAGGAGAGACTGGAGGAGGTTATACATTCTCTCTCCTTTCCATTTTCACACTCTGTAACACTGCATCAGAACTGTGAAATCAGGATTTTGCCGTATAGGTTTACCTACCCCATATCCTCACAGCAAAGAATGTGGGTAGAGGCGGGTAAACAAATTCTGTAAAATCTCAATCTCACATGCAGCAACACCTCCATGCTGCGATCCTATTCCCCTTTAGCAGCGGCATCTCTTCCACCAGCTGCCTGCAAGTGGTTAGACAACGGCTTCTCCTAGGCTCCTCCTCAACTCTGACCTGTCAAGATGAGGAGGGGCCTAGGAAAAATTACACAGCCATGTGCCACTCTGTATCTGAGGTATGTGTGTTTGAGGTAAGGGAGAAATGCCCTGGGGACACAAGGGGGGGAGGGTAGAGTAATTTGTGGTGAGGAGGAGGAGATTATTTGTACTAGGAGGGGAGGGAGAAGATGATTACTTTCAGGTGGGGGGGGGGGGTGGGGGAGTAATTTTTGCTAGGAAGGGAACTCTGGTGGGGGGGGAGGATTTGTGCTGAGAGGGGGAATTTGGGGGGTGAGGGGTAAGATTTGTTTTAGTAGGGGTAATGCCCCGCCTCTGCTTCAGATGTAACTGAGGGATAAGACAGAACTGCCACAGCACGTAGAAAAAAACAGTTGTGTTTCTGAGCCCATCAAATCCCACCAACTGAGTCCCACCCGCTAAATCCCACCCAAAGAGTTGCAGCTACTCCCATCCAGTCCTCGGTAAGGGCGGACTAAAGGAGTTCAATGGGGGAGACTCTAAGAGGGGGGACACTGATGGAGAGACCTCTAATGAGTGGGGATGACACTACATGGGGCTGTCTCTTTGCTGGACTGGGCTATCTCTTTGCTATATGGGGATGTCTCTTTGCTGAATTGGGCTGTCTCTTTGCTGGTTTGGGCCATCTCTTTGCTACATGGGGATGCATCTTTGCTTGACTGGGCTGTCTTTTGCTATATGGGAATGTCTTTTTTGCTAGACTAGGCTGTCTCTTTACTATATGGGGATGTCTCTTTGCTGGATTGGGATTTCTCTTTGCCACATTGTTGGTGCCAGTGGAAGGAATAGTGCCCCATTGTTGGTCTCAGTGGCAGGAATTATGCCTCGCTGTTGGTGTCAGTGGCAGAAATAATTCCTCAAGGACCGGATAAAGGCAAGCAAAGGGCTACAGTTTAGAAACCACTATTGTACAGGATAAAAGACACAAATATGTTTACCATGAAATATCTAGCAAAAACACATACATTAAAATACTTACATTATTTTGATGTAAAATTTGGAGCACTCTGTTAACATTATTTAAAGCATGCACCCTTGTGGATCCACGTTCTTTGGGCTGAAAAAAAAATGAAAGATATTTTAAAGTTAACTTTATGCTATTTTTAAAGTGCTGTTAGAAGATTCAAGGCTCATAGTTGAGTGTAATTTACCCATTCCCACCTCCATCATGCCTTATTTACTGTTCAAGTAACTATCCTTTTAATTTATAAAATAATAATGAAAATAAAGTGAAATAATATTCAGGTTGCTAGTAATTTTTCATGAGATCTTCCCAATATTGGGTTGCTACACTCTAGCTGAAATCCAGGTTGCATTGAGAATCCAAGCTTTGTGGAGAAAAGAAACTTAAGGTGAACGTCAAAAGTGTGATGATGCCCAATAGTTGTGCAAAGACAAGCAGGAGGTGAGATTTTGGCACAGTGTTGGCACATTTACAGGTTCTGCAAAATATTGTCTTATGCTTTAAGCTCTGAAGACACAGCAATGGAGAGAGAATCACAAGAACATGTTAATTATTTTAGAAATGATTTACCATGTAAAATAGTTCAAATATTTAACAGTGTATTTTAAGGGCTCAGCTGAGGCAGATCTTTAAATTTACCTTTTGGCAATTTTACATGAACAGTCTCCTGTCATGTCACAAAAACAGTATTTTAAAAAATAAAGATCTGTCTTGTAATTAAGACGCAATCCTTGAGTTCCAGTCATGTGACTTTGCCTAGGTTGAGATGATGTCATCAGTCTGCTGCAGAAAGGAGGAAACAGCATTTACTGCCTCCATGATTAGACTGCAACTTTATAATGAGCCACACGGTGAGAGAATGCTGCAATTGTTGATTTATGTCATTTATGTCAGGGCAGGAGCTGAGGAACGGACAGGCAGGCCTAACAATGTAACGCACTGGCTGACGACAACCACCACCCACAGACCGAAGTCCCTCAGGGCGCGGAGTCTAAGTCCCAGGCTGCCCTTCACCAGGGCCCTGATGGTGGGGATGGACTTGACGCAGCCAGGAACCAGGTCGCGGCCCCCGAGACACCTCAGCTGCGGTAATGGCCGCCGCCAATGGCGTGTAGCTGGTGGAAGAGACAAAAGAGTAGTCAGACAAGCCGGGGTCAACAACAACAGGACAGAACAGTACAGGACAGCAGACGAGAATCACAGGTCACAAGCCGGGTTCAGCAACAGAGGGTCGGATCAAAGGAGAATACAAAGAATAGTCAAGACAAGCCGAATCAGATACCAGGAGAGTCACGAGAGTCAGAACAGAGTAACAGCAACACAAAGACACAAGACACAAGTGCAAAGAGCATGTGTGGGCCACAGGCTTATATGTCATCAGCCACACCCCTCTGGAGGATGGACCACAGAAACCTGAAGGCATAAAAGGTCTCCCATCATGCACAGCAGAATCCAAGATGGACACCAGCACATGAAGTAACATAACCACAGGGAAAAGGTAGGACCTTGACAATTTAGCCCCCCCATCCACCACACTACAACTCATGCTACATATATGTGCGCTTTTCAGCACAT